GACAGGGCAAGATATGACAAAATAATAATTTATAAATTATCAAGGGTTCATGAGGGGGAGGAAGTGGGGACGGAGGGGAAAAAATGAGGAGCTGATGCCAAGGGCTTAAGTGGAGAGCAAATGTTTTGAGAATGATGAGGGCAATGAATATACAAGTGTGCTTGACACAATTGATGTATGTATGGATTGTGATAAGAGTTGTAAGAGCCCCTAAGAAAACAATTAAAAAAAAAACAAACCTATCCAATATGAAACACAGGCCATCATCCACACACACCCCTCCCCCCACCCCCCCATGTGGCTCTGTGATCACGCGCCCTTCGGGCAGTGAACAACAGAAACGCACACAGCGTGTTTAGAAGTCTCCTGCTGGCAGTGCTTGTGACTCAGCAAGGTCAGGGTTCACAACCGGGCAATGCCAAGCCCTTTTCCTTGTGTCACCAGGTGGGCCCTGCCTGTCCACTAACTGGAAGGGAGAGGATGGAAAGGGAGGTGGGGACAGTACCCAACCCTCTGCCACAGCAACAGGAAACCCGTGGGCATCCTGGGTTTCTATGGAAGGGAGAAGCTGTCCAAGCAGGTGGGTACTGAGTTTGTTCAAATCGTTACTTAAGCCCCCAAACCAGTGCAAAGGCTAATCTACCTAGGGGTCTAGGGCAATGTGTACGCTTTCATATCACCTTAGGATGTGAGTGAGGGGACAGAGGATCTAGTCTGGGCTTTTGTGCGTTTCACTGGTATCTCCCAAGGAATGACCTACAGAACTCACAGTTCAGACTTTATGAATGAAAAGTACACAGAGAAAACTTGAATTTCAATTGCAACAAAACCCAGTCAAGTTCAATTGACATGTTTTACAAAAATAATAGGCACATATATTTAACCAGTGTATGCAAAATTTATCAAGAAGCAATAGATTCTTTAAATACTTCTATCATATAACAGGCAAAATCAGTTTATAGAAAATATATTTAGCATCCCAGGAAGAATTATGTGGTGCATTGACCTATGACTCAAATTATGATTATTAGAATTTTAATATGCCATTAAAATTATCCTCTTTGAAAATGTCCAAGTTGCTAGAAGCCAAGTAAACCAGATCCCTGCCAATTTCTCAAAGATGCAAAGCTTATTAAAATGAGCCATAATTGGCTTTAAGACGCTGTTAGAGAATCTAAACATCTTATATCTGCTGAGTACACTATAGACTTATTCACATTAATTCCTTAATCCATTAAAATAGTTTCTAAAATCTCACTCTCAAATGAATAATAAGGCATTAAAGTCATTTAATATTTAGCTCTTAGGAAAAGCATTCCAAGTGTGTAATCAGCTATCAATAATATTAACATAGACCAAAAAAACCACAAAAATCCCCACACAACTAAGTGCCCTCAGTAGCCAGAGATCTTCCACAATCGAGTGAGTGTGCCGGCGTCTGTCCACAGAGGGTGAGCTCCTTCCAGCGGCCGACGGGCAGCCATTGCTGCCCCTTTCCTGGGCAAGTGCCCACCCAGCTCCCACTGCCGATCGGTCAGCACCGTCTGTGCGGGTCAGTTCCTTTCTGTGACTGTCCGAGCTATGCGGGGTGATGTCCAAACTGAAACAGCAAATGTCAAATACATTAGTCTGTGTGAGAAATCCATCAGGGCGCGACAGTTACCGGGTGACCCTTGAGCAGTCCTGTATGAGAGTCAGCTGTGCTGAGGGCAGAGGACACACGTGCACCGGGCAAGCGCAGCCCCACCAGCAGGTCCAGTGGACGTCATGCGACGCTTGTTGCTAACCGAAAGGTGAGTAGCTCAAGCCCCCGAGATGGCTCTGCTGGGAAAGGGCCCGGCGAGCTGCTACTGTAGCGATGACAGCCCAGGGAACCCCATGGGCAACTTCTCCCTGGGCGCAGGGGCGCCAACTTCATCGCACCCAGCAAGTGGCCGGATCGAAGCTAAGGGCTACAAGACACACAGATGGCTCTTTCTCTAAAATGCTCACAGTAGCGGGAAGAGAAGGTGCTGAGTCACTAGTCAAATGGGAACAGTGTAGACAACACAGTAACACCTGCTGTCACCAGGATCCCTCGACCGGGGCTCAGCGCAGCCTTTCAAGCATCCTGGAACTTGTAAAGTGAAACTCTAGTCTGTGCCCGGAGGAGACTAAGGGCAGGGTGAGTGGATTTCCTTCGGTCAAAAGAGGCGCTATCGGCCTGACTGACTTAGGGTGTGTTGTGGGGAACTACGTAGAAAAGCACCTTCTAAGTCATGCCTGTCTAAGTCATAAATTTCTCTAAGTGAGGCATCCATTTTAGACATATTTGCATTTTATGGTAATAATAGTTCTAAATTATACATATTTGTCCTAAGTGGTGGAAAGACGATAACTTTCTAAGCCAACATGACCAGAACACTGGATTTCGGACTCTGAGCAAGCACATGTGCACGCACACGGCCACCTCAAGGGTTCTGATGCAGTGGGACGACCGCCTGCACTGTCGGCTCCTTGAACGGCCACCTGCATGTCTGAGTCTGCTGCCCCTGTCACTCCTCCATGCTGTGCCGAGCCTCCTCCTTGCCCACGCATCCTGACAGACTACCGCAACACAGTTCTGAGATGGGAAAACTACCCCCAGATTAGATTTATGTCTGAATTAAAGAGACATCAAGTAAGGAGCAATCATACGCATCAAGCATTTCTTGGAAGTATTTACTAAGCATTGTCATTAATGACAATTATCACCGCTGTTGCTTTCTTAAAAGCGTAATTAACACTACTTTACAAAATAATCTAAAGTGTCTGATTGGAAATATATATATATATATTCATATTTAACTGTGGTTAGGGTGAATCTGTTAACCCATTCTTTCCTGGTCCTCTCAAAATTGGAAACACCAGTTCGTCTAACAAGCAACAGTATGAAGCAAGCACCCACCTGACCAAACCACTAGAAACTTGGGCACCCGTATTTTCAAATCAAGGGCTTTATTTCAAAAGGCCTCCTAATACGTAAATGGCAAGATGAGCGTGTCAAAGTGGCGTGTACGCACCATCCCCCACCGGCCAGCGCAGCCTGTATGATTACTTCAAGAGAAGGTGGTCCATGTGGACAAACAGTGGGAGGAAAAGGGGGAAACGAAGGCTACGTTATCACTACTCACCCTTGATGTTTCGGGACTAGAAAACGGAGAAGACTCCCAAGACCTATTTTCTCTCTCAAAGGAATCGTCGTCTTGGAATGCAAATTTCTGCTTCAGCGCATGAGATATTAAAGACACTGGGTCCCAAGGTGGGTTCTGTCTTTTCCGCTTATGAATAGGTCTACCTCCAGGTGACCTGTTTAAAAAGAGAAGAGGAATTAAAACTTTGATATAACAACTCCGCGTTAAGGACAGAGCAGGAACAGAGGCACACTGGGCACAAGAGGCTGTTCTGCTTTGCCTTGGAGCTCGGCATCCGGAGGGCACAGGACTCAGAAACCCGAGAAACCACAGGACCAGAACTGCCTCACCACCAAGCGTCCCGGTTCTGAAGGGCTGGAGCCAATTTCCTAATTCACAGGAGGGGGGCGGGGGGAGGACACATTTAAGACCTTTTGAAAGGAAGAGAGTCATTAAGATGATTAATTGTTCATTTGCTTGGCCATTCATTCACTCAGCCATCACTGAGCACACACTTACCGAACAGGCTCTATTCTACCCTTTATGGATCGAGCAGTAGCCCCTGCCCACAAGGGAATGTGACAGGGACGAGAGAAGAAAGCCCTTTAGAGAGATGACCAGAAAAAGGCTAAGTACGTGACGTCGAACTGAAACCCGGGTGGCAGGAGGGGATCTGTTTCCGCGCTAACATCCAGTGGCCTGAGTGAGAACAGCAAGCAGAGAGAGCGGCCGATGCGGCTGGAGGTGGTGAGTAAGCCAGGGCGCAGGAGGAGACGAGGGCAGCGAGGGCCGCCCCTGGAGGAACTTAGCGGCCACAGCAGGACATGAGGGTTTTCGTCTCCAGGGTCTGGAAAACCACGGAAGGGGGGTCAGCGGGGAACTGGCAAGGACAGCTTCTGCCTGGACATCAACGGGGACACGCCAATCTTCCGTCTGTCGCACTCAGGAGCACAACAGGAGGGCTGCCGGCGATGACGGGAAGCTCGGTGAGTGGCTGGGGCACAGGAGAGCCTGGGACGGGCTGCCTGGCCTGCCCTGTTTCCCCAGCATGGTAACCAAGGCCGCGACTGCATGCCACAGACAGACCCGAAGCTACAGTGCCCATCTGGCGGGGATCAAGTGTAAAAATGTTAAGCAGTGTTTTACCTGTATCAGGAAAATGTACCAAGTGTATGTGGGGGTGAGGGGTGGGGTAACTAAGAGAACATACCCCTGATCTTCTAAAATGGGAAATAAATATAATTAAACTATCATGAAATAGCCAAAGAAGTCTAGCGTTTCAACAGCAGGGAGTTAAGACTCCAGATGAGGCTGTTCAAAAGAAGTTGGACCCCCACTATCATGAGCTAATTCTATTTTACAAATCCGGCTAGATCCGAGCATGTACATGGGTACAGATAAGAGCTGGAAACACAGGGAATCCAGGACAGATAAACCCCTCAGGACCAATAACGACAGTATCCATACCAGGAGGGTAAGGGCAAGGTTGGAGGAGAAAGGGGGAACTGATCACAATGATAGACATATAACCCCTTCCCAGGGGCATGGACAACAGAAGCGGGTGAAGGGAGACAGCAGTCGGTGTAAGACAAGAAAAAAAAGGTATCAATTATCAAGGATTCATGAGGGAGGGAGAAAATGATAGCTGAGACCAAGGGCTCGATAGAAAAAATGTTTTGTGAATGATGATGGCAGCATATGTACAAATGTGCTTGACACACTGGATGGATGTATGGATTGTGATAAGAGCTGTAAGAACCCCCAATAAAGCGATTTAAAGAAAATTCAAAAAAAAAAAGTTGGAAGTGATCATTTCTGGGGGAGAATTCCAGAGAAGAAAGAATTAGAGAAGGCTTACTTGTATTACAATGGTGATTTTTTTAAGATGCTCATTATTTTGACAAATGCAATACTTTTTCAAAAACATCACTGATAGATTCCAGTTCACCTCTCAAAATTGTGACGACATACCGCTCCACGGCGCGAAGCTTGACTTGATGCATGTCCTTCAGCACATCTAACATATTGGGGACATCGTTCCTCCTCTGGGTGTGCACGTGACGGGGACCACGGCTTTCCCCGGCACCCAGGGGCTGCTGGGTGGTTTCCCTTGCTGAGCGGTCTGCGTCCCATGTATGAGGTCCAGGTTGTACACTAGTCGGGGCGCCCGGGGCCTGCAGAGCAGGCGGGGCAGGAAGCGGTGGGGGAGGAGGTGGTGGCACAGAGGGGTGCTCCCGAGGGAGCTGATGGCCTTTGACCCTCAGCTGAGCAGTCTCTGATGGCGGCATTGGTCCCAAATCACCAGGCCCTTCATTCAAGTCCGAGAGGCCTAAAGACAAAGGGGATTGTTGAGAATCACGCAAACTTCTCTCCGGCATGCCACCTAAGTGACGGCAATTAGAACCCAAACAGGAGCAACGTCTGTAGCAATAATGGTCCGGTGGCCAGGAAGGAGAAGCAAATTCCATCTGCTTGGCACTTCCTGTCAGTCAAGCCAAACCATAAGTTCATTTTCAATCCCGTTTCAGAATTCTCAGGTACGCCCTTCCAGGGGTGGTGGTGCATTTTTAAGAGCAAATGGAAGGTGTCTGACCAGCAGTGCATCTACTCTGAGTGCCATCCCTCACTGAGGATGAAAAGCCCGGACATGACCAACGACGTGTAGTTTGGAAGACTCAGGCTGCTCTGTCCACTCACCGACGACCTTGTGCAGGAACACTTTTCCATACGGGCTGTGTAGAAGATGGCTACGACAAAGCCCTGTGTCTGTGTGTGCGTACAAGTAGAGACTGTTGTCACGGGCCATCCAGTTAATTCCGAATCATAAAGTCCAGACACTAAACCTTGTGCCACCAAGTGGTTCCAATTCCTAAGGACTTGACAGAGCGGAGGAGACCCGCCCCCACGGTGTCCAACCTATAAATCTTCCTAGCAGCAGACCCCCGGCTCTGAACGGCAAGCAGGCTGGTGGGTTACGCCTGCTAGATCTTCAACTGAGCCGTGACAGACGTAATCGCTGAGCCACCAGGGCTCAAAGACCTGCAGGAGTGGATTAGGCCACAGACCTTTGGGTTAGTGGCCAAGTGCTTCAACACTGTCCTCCCAAGGCTCCCTGTATGTGTGTGTGCATTATTTGCTATTATAATTTATTAATATGTTTTTCACAAGACAATTCTAACTCAAGCAGAACTCTAGACACAAACCTCCCATTTTTTTGGTTAGCAGCTGAACTCCCTGACCATTTATATCCCCAAGAAACTCACTTATTATAGCTATTACAGATAAAGTAATGTGATAAATTCATAGATTTACAGCTAACGTATATACTATAAATTAAAAGAATCATGAAATAGCATCTGTATTATGAATTTTATGTAATACACATTAGATACATCTTATTTTTTTAATCTTTTATTAAAAGTACTCAATACCCATCTCGATTTAAATTCTGTATACAGACACACACACACACACACATATATATATATACACCGATACACCAATCCATACACCCGTATGTGTGTGTGTGTGTGTGTGTATAAAATGTACGAGGGGGTATCAAAAAAAACCCCAATTGTAGTCAGTAGAGCACAGCTCTCGTGGTAGGCATTTTCCCACTAGGCAAGCATCCAGCAACTCACTCTGAGTTAGTGCACCCAGTGATGACACCTGGGAAGGTTCTCTCAGGTCACAGTAAATGTTTTTGTAAAAGCAGTTTTGCTAAACCTCATTTCTTGTGATGGCTGATTTAAGAGAACAGCATGCGGCTGTTGCCTGCTTGGGAAAAATGCCACAGAAACTGTTTTGATGTTGAACACAGCTTACAGGACAGTGCTAAGGGAAAAACTCAAGTGCACGAGTGGTTTTCTCATTTCAAAAAAGGTGAGATGTTGACTGGTGACAAACCTCTGTCTGGACATCCGTCAACTTCCCGAATGGACAAAAATGCCATAGTACAGTTAAGTGCATTCCACCAGGTCAGACTGTTGATCAAGCTTTCTATTTAGAGGTTCTGAAAAGATTATGTAACAGTGTGTGACTTGTGCCTGGTTTGTGGCAGACAGGGGACTGGTTCTGCCACCACGACAATGCACCTGCTCACACAGGAACTTAAGTGTGCCAGTTTTAGGCAAAAAAACAGCATGCCTCTTGCCCCACACACCTTTCTCACCTGACCTCACTCCGTGACTTCTTTTTGTTTTTGCTAATGCAGAAGGACATGATGGGACAGCAATTTGAGGATGCAGAAGAGATGAAGAAAAAAATGAGGGAGGTGCTGTCAGCCATCCAAGCAGATGAGTTTGAAAAATGTTTCCAAGAAGAGAGTCACAGATTTGACAAATGTATTAAGTGTAAAGGAGAACACTTTGAAAGTGCTAAGGTTGTTTTTTAAAAAAACTTAATTACATAGCTTTGAAAACAAAATTCTGGGTTTTTTGGGGTACCTTCTCTTGTGTGTGTGTCTACACAGACATACATGTATATGTATAGACACACATATGTAATGTGTGCACAGGTATGCATGTGTGCATTAAAGCATGCGACATCTCCATACACATTTGGAAAAGACATGCCTGGAAAGCATTCATCAGAAGCTGGTGGAGAAATAATAGTGATAACTTCAAGTTACAACTAGATGACACCACAAAGCTGTATATTCCTTTCAAATTAATGTAGTTCTCCTGTTCAATTCTTAATGATTCTCAGAAAAGTTAGAAAAGCTTAGCTGGAAGAGACTTGCTAAATTTAAAAGAAGCAAACAAAACACCCTTTAGTAGCACAGCTGGCTCCTCCTCTTCAAACCACAGCATTCCCTCACCATCAGTGTCTAGATTTAGTGTGACTAAGATGCAAGCGTGTTGATTCTATGTACATAATCTTCTATGCTATTTAACATCATTCAAAAGACACATTCGTATCAGATGTTCTCGTTTCAGAATTGCGCTGACAGAAATCCTAGATGGGTATCATTTAAGTGAACCAAAATGCCAGCATATGGTTTACCAGAATTCACGCTGCTTCTCAGCTCCTGCCTCCCCACGATGGCAGCGATCTGGGCCCGCAGAGACGCCAGCTCATCTTCGAGGGCAGCAATCTTCTTCAC